AAGATGTGGTTTTTCTACAAAATGGAATACTACTCAGCCGTAAAGAATGAGAAATTAGATTCATTCACAGGAAAATGGATACATATTGAGGCTATACTCCTAAGTGAAATAAATAAGTCACACATGTGTAAATACCAAATAGTTTCTCTGGTGTGAAAAACTATAATAGTAATAAGATCCTAATGAGATAATTGACCATGTGAAATAGGAAGAAAAGGGCTAAAGGTGTAAGGAAAAGGTAATAAGGGAAAAGAAAAAAATATGACAAAATGCAAAAATGGAAATAAAGTGTTTGTAAATGGGGAGGGGAGCAGGGGGTGGAGGGAGGGCAGGGACAAGGGGAAAAAATGAGAACCAAGACCTGTCATATAGAGGTACAAGATCCCAATAATGAACGTAATTGTACTGTATACCTTAAATGTACCAATAAACTCAATAAAAAAAAGAAAAAAATCAATGGCATTCTTCAATTTTTGGAACCCTCAGGTTGCAGAATATATAAATCTAGCACCTCCTCCAGTATGGGAGTGAGGGGCAGTTGTGTGCTTCAGGATTTGTACTTTTAATTAGATAAGCACCTTTCTTTCCCTTCAGGGTTTTGTGTAAACCCACCACTCTATAAACCCAGTGGCAGAATGTGCCATACTATAGTGTGGGGAACAAGACATATTCTTCATTCCTAAAAGGAGAACTCACAGTGCCTTTTGGTCTCAGCTGGGTCTAGCCAGTCCTATGCACCAGGCAGTAGAGACAGTTGAAAAGGAAACATCACATTCTCCCAACTATGTCAACACATTAATTCTATGAAACAACCCCAAAAAAGTGACATCAACCCCACCTAAACAGGTACAAGAACTTTATAGGGTTTTAATGATTTCCCAACATAAGTACTTCTCTTTGTTAACTCAGCTCAAAAAAATTATATGAAAACCACCAGAAAGCTAGAAATAATACAACCTAACATTTTATGTATGTACTCATTTATAAGAAGATGTATCATTTACTTTTGAAGGACTATATGTTTTTCTACCATATGTAAAAAGTCAAAATGATATTTTTATAGATAATATACCCTTTTGAGTGTTTATATTAAATTTTAAATTAACTCTCATATTTGTTTGTTTTCTCTTGCTATAACAAAATAGCTGAGGATGGGTAGTGTATAAAGAAAAAAGGTTTACATAGGTCACAGCTTTGGAATCTAAAAAAAGTCCAGAATCAAGTGGCTTCATCTTCTTGGCTTTTACCGAGGGCCTCATGATGGATGGGATCACAATGCTGGTTAAGCTTAATGGTCAACTTGATTGGCTTATGAGTTGCCTGAGGGACTGGTACAGTACACTTCTGGGCAGGTCACAGAAACATTGACATAGGGTACTAGATACGGGACCTGGTCCCTTCCTCTCTGGCACTGTTCTCCTGCTGTGCTTCCGCCAGGAACTAAGCAGCTTTACTCCTCCATGCCCTTCACTTTGATGTTCCTACCTTGGAGCCAGCAGACCATAGCCGGAATCCACTGGAACTATGAGTTACATAGACCTCTCTCCTCAGACAAAGGACTATTATCTAGAATATATAAAGAACTCAAAACAATCAGCCCCCCAAATATAAAGACCCAATTCAAAAATGGGCATCTGAAATGAACAGACATTTCTTAGACAAAAAAGTAAAAGCAGCAAGTAAATATATGAAAAAATGTTCCACATCACTGGTCATTCGAGAGATGCAGATGAAAACAACACTGAGATTCCACCTCACCCCACAAAGAATGGAACCAATAACAAGCTATATATATATCAAGAAATCAACCAATAATAAATGCTGGTGGGGTTGTGGGGAGAAAGGAGCCCTTCTCCATTGTTGGTGGGAGTGCAGACTGGTGCAACCACTATGGAAATCAATATGGACATACCTCAAAGAACTAGGATTAGAGGTTCCATTTGACCCAGCCATCCCTCTGCTGGGTATCTTTCCAAAAGAATTAAAAGAATCATACCACAGTGATATATGTGCACCCATGTTTATAGAGGCACAGTTTGTAATAGCTAAAACTTGGAAACAGCCCATTGGCCCATCAGTTGGAGATGGATAAAGAAGATGTTGTTTTTCTATAAAATGGAATACTACTCAGCCATAAAGAATGAGAAATTAGTCATTCACAGGAAAATGGATACATTTTGAGGATATACTCCTAAGTGAAATAAAGAAGCACACATGTGTAAATACCAAATAGTTTCTCTGGTGTGAAAAACTATAATAGTACACAAGATCCTAGTGGAATAATTAACAATGTGAAATTGGAAGAAAAGGGCTAAACATGTAGGGCAAGTGGGAAGGGTAGGGGAAAGGGAATAAGGCAAAAAAAAATTAGAAAATTAAAAAATGGAAATAAAGTGTTTGTAAATGGGAAGGAGAGGAGGGGTGAAGGGAGGGCAGGGACAAGGGGAAAAAATGAGAACCAAGATCTGTCATGTAAAGGTACAAGATCCCAATAATGAATGTAACTGTACTGTACACCTAAAATGTACCAATAAACTCAATAAAAAGAAAAAAATAAATTGTGAATGTTGGGTTATTTTTCCCCCAAACAAAAAAGCTAATATAAAGTAAGTGTGGAACAGATTACATGGTGATACAGGAATCCAGGTGGCTTCAGGGACCAGGACTGCTTTTCACATAACAATCCATTCTTGCAGCAACTAGCTGGGAGCCAAGAGAGCTACATTAATACCTTCTAAAAATCAGTGCCCCTGGGATTTTGATCAAGATTGCATTAAATCACTACAACAATTTTGGAAGTATGGCCATTTCCACTATATTGATTCTTAACCCAAGAGCAAAGGATATCTTTCCATTTTCTAATATTCTTTCTGTTCTCCTTTTTCAGAGAACTGAAGTGAGGTCTTTTTACTCCCTTCCTTTGAGTGATTACTATGTATTTCTTTCTCTTTTTTTATGTTATTGTAAAAGGTGTTGTTTCCCTAATTTCTCTCTCAGTGAGTTTGTTGTTTATGAAGAGGAAGGCTATTGACTTTTCAGTGTTGACTCTGTATCCAGCTACACTACTAAAATCAGTTATTAAATCTATAAGTCTTGTGGTTGAGTTTTTGAGGTCTTCTTTGTAGAGTATTACGTCATCTGCAAATAATGATAGTTTAATTTCTTCCTTTCTTGCCCTTATTCCTTTTATTTCTTTCTCTTGTCTAATTGCTCTGGCTAACATTTCCAGAACTATATTGAATAAAAGTGATGACAGTGGACATCCTTTTGTTGTTCCTGATTTTAGATGAAAGCTTTCAGTTTTTGTCCGCTTAGTGTGACACTGGCTGTTGGTTTGTCATAGATGACAACAAATTCAGGCAGGGATGTGGTAAAAAGGAACCCTTCTACACTGCTGGTGGGAGTGCAGACTGGTGCAATCATTGTGGAAATCAGTGTGGAGATTCCTCAAAAAACTATGATTAGAGGTCCCATTTGACCCAGCTATTCCTCTTCCAGGTATCTTCCCAAAAGAACTACAATCATTATACTATAACAATGTATGCACACCCATGTTTATAGCGACACAGTTTGTAATTGCTAAATCTTGGAAACAACACAAATGCCCATCAACCAATTAATGGATAAAGAAGATGTAGTTTTTCTATACAATGGAGTACTTCTCAGCCACAAAGAAAGATAAACTTGATACATTTATAGCTAAATGGATACACACTGGAGGTACACTCAAGTGAAATAAATCAGACACACACGTGAAAATGTCACAATTTCTCTCTAGTTTAAAAAATTGAAAATGTAAATTGGGACCAAAAGGCATAGTAGACGATATGAAATAAGAAAAAAATTGTCAATAGGAAGGGGAGCTAAAGAAGGAAGGGGGGAAAGGAAGGGAGGAAAAAGAAAAACATGAGAAAGGAAGGAAATAATGGAAACAGGAGTTTTGCAAATAAGAAAGGGGAAGATGAAGGGAGGAGAGGTGACATGGGAAAAACGGAATGCAGGTACACCGTGTAAAGGTACAAATTCGCGATGACGAATGTGACCATCATGTAAATCTGAATGTATCAATAAAATGAAAAGTAGAAAAAGCAGTGCCCCCCCACGGCCTCACTACCTTCCACTCAGCCCAACTTCTCAAAGTTTATACTATCTCAACAGTGCCACACAGGGAACCAAGCTTCTCATAGACATACCTTCGGGGGCCACACTCAAATCAAATCCAAACCATACCAACCATGGTTTGCATCAAATGTGATCTTATGAACACATAACCATTTTACAGTGTGACGGTGAAGCAGTTGATTCTTGGTATAGTGCTTGGTTCACGCTGAGCCTATTTCTTGATTGGAAATATGGAACCATCTACCTTATTAGAGACAGAGCAAAACATAAAGGACAATATACTCAAAGCTTAAGGACAGGTAGTACATCTCAATTATTATCTCTTCTCAGTGTTGTAACTTTTTGTCTTTCATCCAAATTAATTTCACTCAAAGTTTCATTCAGACTTTCTTGAAATTGTCAAAGAAAAATGTTCTCACCAGGAAATAACACAATAAACCTTCTTTATAATTATCATTCATTCCAAGAGTATACTGTTTTCAGGGATCTGCTTCTTTATAGCAGGTCCAAGTTGTATTATTTAACGCCAAAAACTGTTCTATCAACTTATTCTTCCTTATTCTAGATCATTAGCAACACTTGGCAGAAAAGACTTGAGAGTGACTATGCCCTAGCTTCCTGGATACTGCTTTAAGCCTTAATCTTGGAAAAAATTTCCTCAGACTTTAGCTAACCAAAGCAGCGTCCCCAACTCCCGCTATCCCACCTGACTTAGGAGGTGCAACACTGAATGATCAAAGAAATCACACCCACCACTGGCTGTTAGCCATCCCATTGCCTTTCAGCCCAAAGTAGTTAGCTTTCTCATGGCTAGGACACAGTACCCAATACCCACACTTAAAGGAGAAGAGGTTTAATTCAGCTCACAGTTTCTGGGGATTCAGTCCATGGTCAGCTGCTCCAGAGCAGAAACATCATGGCAGAATGGTGTAGCACAGCAAAGATGGTTAGTTCATGGTGGATGGAGAAGAAAAGGGGAGCAGCATCCTAGATGAAAGTGAGAGGGACCAGATATAATACCCAAGGCCATGTCCCCATGACCCATCCAGACACACCCAGAAGTGTGCACCATCGGTTTCCAAGCCAAGCAAGATAAAGCACTCAAGCTTACACACCACATAGACTTTCTTTCTGAAATGCTGTAATTTTCAACATTTCTGTAACTGTTACAAAGCTCACAAATTCATATGCTTTGTTCTACAATGTTGCTCCCTCTAGTGCTGAGTTAAGACACTGGATATTCATGAAACTTAAAATTTACCTAATAGAAAAAGAAAATGCGAAATAATGATAATATTTCCATACTAAAATTATTTCTGCACATAGGCGTCTATCCAACGGCAAGCATGGCACTGTCTCTTAATAAGCACTCTTCAAACCAAACTGCTAAGAGAACATACAGAATGAAAAAAGAAATTATTAAGACTCTTCCTATTTAAAATTTTTAAATTTAAAATGTGATTTTTTGAGCAACTTTTTTTGGTTTTTATTTCTTATTAGTACATCTTTGCCGCACATAGTGATTACATTCTTTGTGAGGACTCGGTACATGTACCTAACAAGTGTCAATTCTTTTTTCATCTTCTTTCCATCTCCTCCCTTACCTTTCCATCTCTTAATCCCCTTCCCATTTGAAAAAGATCTCTCTCCCTACTTGTTACTATCTTTTATTTCCCTCTTTATTTATATTTTGAGTTTATCACATAAGAGAAATTACACAATATTTAAGCTGTTTTGTCTGATTTGTTTCATTTAACATTATGGTCTCGAGGTACATCCATTTTCCTACAACTTATTCAAGTTTATTCTTCTTCGTGGCAGAGTAGTACTGCACTGTATATATAAATGCTTTTATAGTGGCTTTAGAAACATTTTCTCACCAAGAAACATTGACTAGCTATAAAAAAGGAAGTAACTATTTCATTTTTCCAAAGGAGGAGGTATGTCATTCAACTGCACATAGAAAGAACCAACTTAGCAGTTTCCAACTTAGCAGCAATGCTGAAGTTAAGAAGATATGCCCATGTATTTCTGAGGAATTCTTCAGCATGTCAAAGATAGAACAATCTTTTAGTGTGGGTGATAGCTGCTAGCAAAGCTTACAGTACTGATGAGACCTCCCAATGAGTGTCCCCCTGAGCTCTCCTCTCAGTTAACCACCTGCTTCTTGTCTTGTCTCCCAGGGTCCCCTAAATCAGCAGCACCACCCTTGAGTTGACTGCACTGTATTCTGATCACAGACTCAGTGGGGATCCTCCCCACAGCCCTCACTTCCAATGGGGAGCAGGACTCTGCCCTTGGAGTAACAGTGATAAGAAGGGTCATGCCCAACCTCTTGGCATGAGAGGTCGTATGTTCAATACATTATCAGACACTGTATGCTTTCTGTGGTACTGGGGATTGAACCCAGAACCTTCGCACTGACCTACATCCCCAGCCCTCTTTCTTTTTTATTTTAAGACAGTATTTCATAGTCTCCAACTTTCCCAGGCTGGGCTCCAACTTTCAGTCTTCCTGAATCAGCCTGCCAGAGTACTGGGGTTGCAGCTTTATGCCTATATATATATTAAAAGCATTTTACTGATTTCCTAACACAATTTACAGAAAGTGAAGTTTCACGAAATCACCTTCGCTCATGGGAAAATATAGATACCTCCCTAATTTTCAACTATACCCTCGAAGACCATGCTAGACCGTTGAAGTAGGAGAAAAATTAAACTTGTGCTTGTTCATGGGTTGTCAATCATTGAGAAAAATATGGGTCTAATTTAGAAGACCCTGTTAAAGACTTGCAAGGCTTTGATGTAATATTTTATTAGACTATAAAAATAATAATTCAAAAATATGCAACCCAGCTACCAAAAAAGTAATTTCAAAATAATTTTCTTTGCACTTATTTCACAATGTGATGTTTACATACAGCCTTTCTCTTATTTTCCACCTCTTTTCACCTATTCCATAGTGTTTCATAGCATTGGTTCCGCTCCTATCTCTTCCTTCTTGATTGCACAAATTTAAGGAATCCATGTACCAAAGGCAGAACTATCCTCAGAGGATGAAGAAGAGAAAATTTCGGAAGCTGGCACCCTGAAGGTGAGCAAGAGTAAAAGGTGAGAATAGATTTATGTTAAAATGTTTTGATCCACCATATAAACGTGTGTGTGACGGGGCTGGAAATTGAAAAAGGGGATGAAGCAGTTTCGTCTCACCCACCTTTGAAGGAACAAAACACGTCTGGTCTTATCACTCATTGCAAGTTTAAATGAGGCTTAAGGAGACTCTTGCTGCCTCTCTCAATCCCAGAAGTAAACAGCTCATTCTTAACTTTCTCCGCAATATGTGCGGATTCCTTCGATATGTGCGAGACACAGAATAGGCAGAAGCCATTCATTTGCACGGGCAGTTGGTTTCCAGTTAGGAAATTGTATTATCAGTCTATTCACGGGAGTATGCAAAAGACAGAATTGAAGCATCAAGAGGGTATCTACCTTTCAGGACAGTAATCTATAAAGAAGAACTAGATAATATTATCTCGTGCTTTAAGTATCACAAAATTTCACAGTGGAGGTGCAGATGTTTAGGAACTGGCATACTCCTCTGTGCCTCACTGTGATCAAACCTGATCAGTTCACATCTCATCAAAAGCACTTGAAAGGTTGCGGGTTTAACTATTATACTAATTCATCCCCAAAGACTTTGTTTTATTAATGTTCCATCGTATATATTTTTAAACTCAAAGTTTTCCCTGTGTAGTACAAGCATAAGGGATTCTAAACTTCTAGGCATGGAAGAATAGCGTTTGGAAGAGGTAGTTTTTCAAGCATCCTTTCACAGAACGTCATGGATGTGTGTCTTGGCGAATTCAACTTGTCCATAGCACAGGAGAAAGAATCTTCCCCATGACTACTTTTAGGGTTCTGCTTAAAATTCTTCTGCCAGTTCCTTATAACTTCTGATTTTTGAAATCACTTGACACAACCAAAAGAAGGAACACGTGTCAGTCTGGATTGGGTCCCCCTACATTTATTCACCCTAGCACAGAAGCTTAATTGCCAAGTTTATCGGAAAAATGGAGCCCACGCCTGAGACAGTGGCTCCCTGGTGGCCCAGGTCCCCGCAGAGGCCCAAGGGTTTCCCACCCACCATGCTTCCAAATGCCTTACATCTTTATTTTAAGCCACAGGAAGAAGGAAGTGACAGAAAGGCCAAAGGACACACACCAGCTGTGTTTTATGAAAATTTCCCAGAATTTACACAGTTCTACTTCTTTGACAATGCCCAACATGATCAAGGCCAAAAAAAAAAAAAAAGAAAGATGCTGGGTCAAAACAGGCTATGGTCTCTGTAGCAGAAGATGATGATGACACAGCTTGAAAAGACACGTTTGTCCTTATCCACCGGAGGAGTCAGACAAAACAGCAGTAGCGTGAGCACCATACTCACCTTTCCTTAACGCAGAAGGGTGAACAATGAACACCTTTCCTTTATCCCAGCACAATAATAGGAAAGGATGCCACTCACAAATCTATGACAGGATGGGCTTATGCTAGGTTCTCATTCCTCCTTCCAAAAAACAAAGTGTTTTGTTAAAATTATACATTAGGAATTTTCAGAATCTGATTGTGCCTATTTCTTTAGCCTCCTTTTCCTCATCCCCCCCGCTGCCTTTCCAACCCATTTATTCTTCCACATGAATTTGAGAGTCATTTTTAAATTTTAAAAAATTTGGATTTCAAAATTTCACTTCCATGTTTTTAAATGGATTAAAAACAAACCTTGGCTCAGGGCACAACTCTTATTTGTTCTTGCATGACCTTGCTTCTATCTACTTAGCTAGTAATTTTTTAAATAATAAAAACCATCACTTGCAAACCCACCACTCAAAACAAAAGCTAGAACTTTAACAATAACCCATCCTCACGCTTGCCCACCCCACACAGTTACATTTCAAATTATGCTGAACGACAGTCTTTTACTTTATATAATTTCATTTATTCAAGTCTCATAGTTCCAAGAACTTTATGGCAACAGAATGAAGATACTTCCAATCTTATTTTATCAACCACATTGCAAGAAGGCTGGGAGATGCTTCCTAGGGCCAAAGAGATCTGAGAATGAGAGAATTGATAACGGCTGTCTTTAAAGCCAATTATGACACCGCAGGGCCAATTCATGCCCAGTTTGGTCACCTGGCTCAGCCACTGCCAAACGACCAAAGACACACTGGTTCCAGGCAGGGTTACTGGCCTGCTATGCCACTTCGAAAATTGCTGAAAATGTCTACCTGATTCATCGATGTCTCCCAGTTTGAGATTTCAATTCTCCCACTCAGAGAGCAGTTAGAGAAGGTGCTTTGTTTTGTTCTGTTTTGTTTTGTTCTTAGAAACCAACTTAATCTATGATCTTGACACATCACTTCCATGTCCTTTCAACTAGTCAAGCTTGCATGGCTTTTGCTGGGGGTTGTATGATTTATTCTTTGGTGTCATATCCTACATTGTTTAAATTTGCTTCGAGTCACACTGGTTCAGTTATATCAGAATGCATTATTTTTTCTTTCCATGGAGACTTGTTCTTCTTGAAAATGAAAGCTTTGTGTTAAAGATTATTGTTTCTGCTATAGATTTATAAGTCTTTCTCTGCATTTTAATTAGGTTATTCCATGTATATTTTTTATTTATGCATTTTCAGTACTGGGGATCGAACTCAGGACCTTGTGCTTGTGAGGCTGGAGTGGTGCCACTGAGCTAAATCCCTGGCCCCATGTGTGCTGTATTTACAAAACCTTGTGCATGCTGTGCACTATTTCTACCACTAGAATAGAGAATGACAATGGCTACAAAATTTTATACACATATATACATAAATTTGGAGCATTATTATTATTGCAACAATAAATTCAAAAAAATTTAGGCATAAGCTTGTTCATTTCATTTAAACTGTGATTGTTTATGCTTCTCATGTTTTGAAACAATGGTATATGGAGA